CACAGATGCTGGCAAAATGTTAGGAAACAAAACTTCCAGAACACGGCCACACAGCCTGGAAGACCCACACCAGACTTGTCACTGTCTTGGAAAGGAACCTTTCAGAGGTGCAGTGCAGCTTTTGGCCAGAACAGAGAATAGCAGACATGATATTTGCCATGAGGCAAGTCCAGGAGAAGTGCATCCAGAACAAGCCTCTTTACTCTGTCTTCATTGACCTGGCAAAGGCATTTGACACTGTAAAGAGGGAGGCTCTCTGCATCATCCTGAGACATTATGGATGCCCAAGGAAATTCATGAAGGTGATTCAGCTACTCCACGACAGAAAGACAGGACAGGTTCTTTACAACAGTGATACATAAGCTGCATTTGCCATTTCCAATGGGGTAAAACAGGATTGTGTACCAGCCCCAGTCTTGTTCAATTTGTTCTTTACTTGCTTGTTGTCACGTGCTGTCCATTGGATGGCTCTCTCTTTGAACATCGCTGCTTAAACACACGGACAAAGTGCCTCCATACAGTCATCCAACAGCCCCCCTTTGCTGATGACTGTGCATTCCTGGTGCACAAAGACAGTGATTTATAGTTGATGCTGAACAAATTCTCAGATGCTGCTATGCTCTTCGGCCTGACTATTAGCCTGAACAAGACGGAAATATTTTACCAGCCCATGCAAAATACCAATCCCATAGAACCCAAAATCACTGTTGATGACACCCAGCTGACAAATGTAAACAGCTTCAAATACTTGGGAAACATCATCTCGAGCAATGGGTCTTTGAACAAAGAAATTGACTCCAGGATCAGCAAAGCCACCCAGGCACTGGGGCAGCTGCATACTAGAGTGCTCAATCAACACAACATCCGTATCTCCACAAACCTGAAAGTCTAGAGAGCTGTGATTATCCCTTCTCTCCTAAATGGATGTGACTCCTGGACTCTGTACCAAAGGCACATCAAACAACTGGAGAAATTTCACATGTGTGCTCTCCACTCCATCCTCGGCATTTGTTGGCAAGACCATGTCTCCAACTTGGAGGTCTTAGATTGTGCAGAATCCACCAGCATTGAGTCCCTGTTTATCAGAACCCATATATGGTGGGTGGGACACATCAGAATGGATGACCACCGTATGCCTCGCCAGTAGCTCTATAGTGTACTGGAGTCTGGGAAGAGACCTTCAGATTGACCAAGGGAACTAGAAGCTACAGTTACTGACAGAACCCACTGGTGAGCCCTGTGTTATGAAGCCTCCACTGGCTTTGAAGACAGGCGCCGCCAAAAACTGATACAAAACCATAAGCGGCGTCACGGAATAACACTCACAGTTACTACAGCAATGGACTTTCAATGCCCCGTTGTGGTAGACTCTGCACTTCCAGGCTAGGACTGCAGAGCCATCTCCATGTCCACAGATGAACTGCAAAACAGTGTGTCTCCTTTGAACCCGAAGGACTACCATATACCCATACATCTGTAATATATTTATATGACTATCATGTTTTTCTAAACCTACTGTATTTTGTATAAATGAGTCCCATATTTCATTATACTTGTCCGTACAAAGTCTACGACTATAGACAATCAGCTCACAAGTGGCAATGCAATCAGGTCTTCAATCCATTGAGTAAATGGATTGAATAAATGTAAATACATTTATTTTTCCAATGCTGCAATATCAGTCTTTCACCCATAGTAAAGGCACAGAGAATTGATTTACTTTGTCCAGTTGTCAAGTTGCATGTACTAGGTATATAATTCAAAAGAATATTATCCTGTGATAATTTTAGCTTTTGTCGCACAGTCACATTTATATGGTTCACTACTTTCTCCTAAAACTTAGTAAGCATAGGACATTGTAAAAACACGTGTTTTAAAAAGCATTGCCCTTATTACATCTCCAACAAAATGCTGCCTTAGACAATCCTTTTCTAAACAAATGTAATTGAGTCTAATAAATTCTAAATATTATTTTTTGTTCTATAAGTCATAATTTAAGGTCCATTGACACTCTTGCTTATAGAGGTTAAGCCATTCTCCATTGTCTAGGCAATATAGGAACCTCTAATTGTTTATTCCACTCATCTCTTAACATCTGCATATCATATTGATTTATTGATAACAAATATCTATAAAAACTAATAGTAGGGTTTTTTTTAGTTTTAAAGGATTTAACAAG